TGGAATGAAACGGTGTAGGTAGCCGCGAATCCTCGGGTTTATAAGCTTGTCTTGCCTAGTTATCGATTCATAATAATGATCCGAGGAACTCTCAGTGCGCAGCAATCGTTGGTTCAGATAGTACTCAGCCGTCGGCGACTCTGCCACGGACACATGAGAAGCCGAAGGTGGATCCCTCATCGGCTACGCCGATGAACTGGCAGACTCCTGGTATAGCCATGTTACCCAACCTGCGAACGGAGCTAATAAGCGCAGTACTGCGACAGGCTAACGATGCAGAAGCCTGGTAGCGACAAGGGGCCGAATTTGGAGGCCGCAGCATTTTCACTGCGTCTATGACTACGGAAGGACTGAAGAGGCTAACCCAACAGACCGCACATACGCAGTAAGGATAACAGTGAGCCGACCCACTTAGGTATTAGGCAGCTGTGACAGGATATTTCATCAGAATAGATTGACCCTAACATGGCTTGACATGTTCCTGCCTACTCGGTCTCGACCGTAGCGTAACTTTCCGCTTCACCTCATTCCTTCCCTTTAATATGTGCCGCCTACTTCAACCCCTACCACCCTTCCTCATTCTCTCCACTTGACTAGCATGCAATCACCTAACGTTGGCACAGACCGTTCCCCTCGACAACACATATCCTTTCACCTTCTCTACACGTCCTCTGACGTTAGATGCTCTCTCTGGTGTACACTTGGTACCTTCGACCTCGAAGTTCTAATATTTCCAGCCATTGTTGGACTTGAATCGGCTGCAGCGCAAACGGTACCTCCTGTAAGGCCTGGGAGAGACTAAAGAAGAAAAGAAAGAGGGAAAAAAAACAAAGAAAGAAAGAAAAAAGAAAAAAAAAAAACGCCTACCCAGTTGACAAAGTGACGGTAGTGGTGCCCGGAAGACTCAATCCATCTCTAGCCGTCCCGACGATGTGTTACAGTCAGCTAATTCCACACGGTACTATTAAAGGGAAGATTGTTGCTGCCCATTTCAAGCAAAGCGCAGGCCGTCAAGCAATACCGCCGCATACTGTATTTAACTTTATGACGAGCTTGACTTCTGGAGTTATTGACCTGACTATATATAGAGCTAGTAGCGCTACTAAGAGTAGCGCCGTCGTTCCCAAGAAACTCCGTGTCTTGCAAGAAAAAGAACATCAAGATCGGTCTTATTGGTCTCTAAGACAGGCACAAATACAGCTCGCAGTCTTTCGAGTACGAGACAACCTACAACCCCACGCGTAGATTTTGCGCATATAACGAGATTCGGCTTGCCAGTAGCCAACGATTCCACTTGTGACCCAGTACTAAACCTGACTGCAAGGACAGCAAAGGATAGCGATCGACCGCCCCACGCTGACGCTGGGCAGCTTATAACGGGTCACTCAACTTTTAGGATCGGTGTGAATAACAGGCACTCACTTAGAACAGAAGGACTACACTGAAGGCCACCATGACGCTGCAGGTTCTTAGTGCTCGCCTCCTGTACCCAAGTGATAACCTAGTAACAGGATTATTGGTCAGAGGGACTGTTCATGACTGACATAGTATGACCTAAGCCTGGCTTATAAGCAGACACCCGTAGCTCTTTGGCCATTCACTCTCTAACCGTTATTTGGGCCATTTTAAGCTTATCTTCACCACGCACACCGTTGGTTACAGAGTCTGAGACTGATTAACTCAACCTTTGAGAAGACATCACCTGTTAGGCTCAGTATAGTGGGGACGTAGAACCATGGTACAATATTTGGTCCACAGCAGTGACTCTGGACTCCCGTTAGTGGAATGTACGCTTAGATGGCGGGCCGTGACGGTCGGGTTACTAGAACAGGGTGTTTCCAGAGGTGGGCGTCAGACGTTGCGATGGCCCCTTAGAAGCGTGTATGTGACTCTCCCAACTACAGCATCCGCAATTGCTGTCAGGCAGACAACTAACTACAAGCCCCAGGAGACTGCGCAACCGGGTAGGTCGTTAATATACTACTTTACTCTTATACTACAGACCCCCTTGAGCTATTCTATGAATGCCCAATTGACTCCGAGTCTCCGCCCTTGGCCCGGGATATCAACAGACGTGTCGCGCATCTTCCTCCTCTATCGTCTCAGTCACGATGGAAGTACATCACCCCACAGCCTGTCTACATACACTTCCACATAATGTCCTGGACCTGCCTTATCTCAAATAACCCCAAACACTGAAATCGCTGTCTTCCGCTACTTACAAAGGTCAGATTCATATTCTAAGGCGAGGCAAGACTTGAAGCTTCCTGGAACGAAGTCTTACTTACCTTGGTCCTCTACCCAATAGAGAAGTATACGTTCTGGTTGCCGTTTTCCTTCTTGACGACGATTTGAGTTATACCTTTACTCCGTAACATCTGGCCCACTGCCTTATAAAAGGGTGTGCCGCTGAAGATAGCCCAATCTGTTTGATGGTTGGGGGTAATCCGGATTTCGTCCTTAAAGCAAAGTTTGTGTTTATCGCGGTATTTCTTCATGGCCGCTTTTGTTTCAGCGTTCTCGACATCATCGATGATCACTAGCTCTATATCGTCCGGATCGACAGACTTCTTTTCGCATAGCGCCGCGAGAACCTGCGACAGTCTCAACTTCTTCCGATGGTTGCTCTCTAATCCATTGTACGCAAGATAGACGGTCATCGTCTTCTTATTAGTGCTGATGCCGACCTTATCCAGTGGAGAGCTGCCACTAGTATAATGACTAGATTTGACGTAGTATACGCCATTAGTGTGCTCGACAGTGTAGCCGTGATCCTCTCAGAGACCGGCAAACACTCCTAGGAGCGAGATGGCAAGTACGAAATAATGACGGAGACCGATCATAACGAGAGCTTGGCGGTTGGAGTTTGGGGCTGGACTGTAGCATAACCAGACGAGATATAACTCAGCTTTAAATAAACAAGCCGACCGTTGGTAAGCCCGCAAGACACTGGTGCTCTACATAAAGAGACTGGGTTTTGCTCAGGTTCGGTGTACGCGCTCAGTCGTATTCCACGTCAAAGGGCCAATCTCCCAGATGTCCTTGCACCCATGCTCAACGGCGTCTCCGAGGCTATTCTGGGGCACTCCCTACGCGGAGGCAATCCCAGAGAAAACCAATAGTCGGGGAGGTCATGATAGTATGAGAACCACTAACGCTCAGTCGGACTGAGGCAACTACATAGGGACCCATCAAGACCACTTTTATCTGGTTAGATAGCTGATGCGTCCAGTCCGACGAGCTTGATTTGCTTATGGATATCCAGGTCGTCTTAGCATTCCAACAGGGGCAATTACCCCAAGGACACCTAACATCACATCTAAATTGAACTCCTATCTATACCTTAGGGAAGCAAAAAGGAAGAAGAAGAAGGAAAAGGAAGGATAGGGAAGTCAAGGACGAAAAGTGAGAGAAAACCAAACCGTTTCTAGGGAAGCGAAGTATAGAAGAAGAAGGGACAAAAGACCATTTGCTATTACACCTCTATTCAGGAGAAAAGGTTACATTGAAGAGTAGCGGACACGTCTCTCCTAATCCCCCTTTTGCTGTTGTCGCCGCCGCCCGAGCCCATGACACCGCACCGCTTGATGGACAAACAACGGCAGCAACTAGGAGCTTTGCACCTGCAATTAAATTAGGCCGAGCCGGTGCTCATCTACCGGCCTTGCGGCTACGCCTTAAAGCCGTTCGTGGAACGCGTAAGCCGGCATCCAGCCGAGAAACACCACATGCCCAAGCCGCAAGGCCGTCGGCCGTCCCGCGCTGCTGAAGTCCATACCACTGGGGGACCCGAGCGACGTCCTCCCCCTCATCCCGATGGCCTCCACCCCATGAAGCGCTGATGGTCACCCGCGGCCATGCCTGCCACTACTGAGACTACCGGACAGCAAGTGATGACCTTATCTACCGCCACCTCTCCAAGTCACGGAGCCTCTGGATGTGGAGACATCGTCAAGTCCGAGTTATCAACCCGCAATATAGAATAGATATTATCAAGAAGGGTTCAATAATCGATGCCACCCCCATCTCGAATGCTCTCTCCCTTGTCGCCGGTCGTTTCAATATCAGAACCGCCCTACTTCCGTTTAGGCGGGATCGCCGTGACGTCTAGGGCGAAGAACGCATAGTTTTGGGCGTTCCTGATCTTGTCCTTATCTGTAAGCTTCTCGCAGCTGACGTTTCGTGTTTAGCATTTGCAAATCTCTCGTGGTTTCGAATCAGGTATCATCGGATATAGGAGGGAAAGACTTACTCCTCCACTGGATATGCCAGGTCAATACAGCGCTTGCCCCTTGCCGACAATAGCGTCGAGATGCTGCGTTCGTGCAGCAATATCATCCCGAAGATGGCGTGTATGTTCCCTCTCCGCCAGTTCGAAAGCATTGCGAATTGCTGGCTTTCTATGAAAAAGGAAGGGCAGGCGAGGAGGATGTTGGTTTTGAATACTTGGTCGCCGGCATTGATGGCAGCAGCCGCCACCCCGCCGTTGCCACAAGGGAAAGTCCTCTAGGGGGGCATTGCATAGACCAGTCGTTTGTGGGCTTCGGACCGCCTTCATCGATATTGTACTTGACGGTGCTTGACGGCATCTGCAGGAATCTGTTTGGTGCCCCGAAGTGGCTGGTCTTGAAATTTCGTAGGAACGCGGGCTTTATTTAGCAATTGGTTCCTATCAGTCTCACAGTCAGCCACTCGAACTCCATAAATAGGAGCGCAGACGACACCAGAGGCATAAGGAGCCCGACTTCCAACGTCAGTAGCAAGACGTGTGAATTAATGAAATGAAGTTGTGATCGTAACTGCCAACCCATCTCGTATAGGCCTTCGATGTTGTCCCAGCATTGTCCAAGGCAATATGGACTCCGTTGGCTAAGATATTCGCGATGCTCAAACTGACTTCTCAATACTTTTGAGTTGCGATGCATGAGCATGGGCAGTCGCTTCCTTAGTTCCATAGAGACCCAGGAGCGTCAGCGGCTCGCTTGTCATAAGAGGCGAGAAGGCCGCGTTCGGAGAGGAGTTAACACGCCAAAGACATGGGAGAAGTTCAACGCAACGAACAAGATGGAGATGACTTTCCGCATGTGAAGATGAAAGTGCTGGGACTTCTCGCTTGGGTGAGTGGGTGTTGGGCGCTGATACTCGGGTGGAGGAATGATAAAGCAAGCAATACAGTTCGTCCTACTGACCTGGAAACGAAATATGCCGACTGTGGGCTTTTATAGATTGCATTTAGGTTGCTCAGCGTGATGAGCAATGGCTGTGGGCAAGAGATTCTGGTGTATGGGTGAAGCCGACATATCGTTATGGCTTCTTTGGGTTATACAGGGTTAGTATCAGTGACCCCAACCCACGCGCCTTTGGAGCTTCCACTCCTGTGGATAGTAGGTTAAGAACACATCAGCTTTCGTGTGATGGTCTAGCTTGAAAGACTGCAGTATGTGTCCCACTCGCGCAAGTCACATCATTCCTATGACCTAACAGGCGCAATCCAACTCAAGGCGGGTCTGCTGGGGGTAATTCATCTTTTTAAAAGGGTTCCGCCACAAAGAAGCAGGGAGTAGTAGCGCATACTTTATGCGGTATCTTCAAAGACCAGACACCAGCTGAATGGGGCAAGCAGGCAATACTAAGCAGTTACCCAACTTCGCATATAGCTATATACGAAGTTGTTATTCTGGTCCCCTACTTACCAGGCGCGCGGACAGCAACATGCCTATATAAAAGGCAAGACCAAGCCCTTGGGCATTGGGAAACTGGTTATCGACCTTGGGGGAAATCATCATCATCCTCATTCTCGGAGATGGCCCCATTCACGCGCCCGCCTTTGCAGGGCTCAGCCCAACGTACTCACATCTCTCATCACGCATCGACGGGGCCCACAAATCTTTTCATTCCCTGTTTTCGGGAAAGCTATTTGCGTCGCGAGCTTGGCTTCAGCGAGCGCCGGCGCACGTGCACGCTGATTACAGGCCCCACTACGCCCTTTGTCCTCCCCAAGGAGCGGGCTATTATTCCTTACGAGTCGTTGAGGCTACCTATAGTGGCCCGTCAACCATCCCCCAAATCTTGCCCTGCGCACCTAAATCTGAGATCTCCACTGGACGATATGATCTTATGCACCAGCCTAAAAGGAGTATGTTAAGTATTATCAAACACAGGTTCCGCTAGTATTCTGATTGTATTTCACTGCTAACTTAATAATATACACAGAAACAAACCATTAGAAACATCTTATTCTTAAAGATCTAAGATGCAGTGCATTATAGCAGGAGGGAAAGAAAATATAAATAGTACTGTTTTTCTTAGTGGCGACTATAACATCCAAGCCACTATACTGTTTTAAGTCTGTTGAAAATAAGTATTTAGAGGGTAAAATCTACAAGAACCACCCACAATAAAACTGTCAAATTGGGCATGATAACCTTGAGAGGTGTCAGTCGCTATGAAAGGTGTCCGCCACTAAGCGACCTTGAGAGGAGTTGAGAAGAGTTTTCTATGGTTATGCCAAACTCTATTGATAAAGGAAAAAGCCCTCACTCTGGACATAAATAGTAGAAGATCTTCTATTATGGAAGAGTTGGAAGAAAAAAAAAAAAAACCAGAATACACATCACTATTCCTTTTACTACTGCCAATCTAACAAAAACTTCTACCTGTAATGTAGCTTAGTAATCGGCAGGCCTAGTGGGTCGCACCCTGCTCGTTTTTGCGAAGTTTTCGGACCCCCTTGCTATGCCCAACTCCAGCACAGAAAAAAAGCCCTGATGACGATGCCTTCAGGCCTGTTAACCCCTGTTCTGCACTATGCATCTCCGGTAGTGGAAGTAGCTCCCCAGTAGCTTCGGCCGGCCCGACCGGCTCGACGGCCAGGGGAGCAAGATGCTAGTACGAGTGTCCGGGACCAATAAAACCTGCACCGTTTGCTCAACAGCAAGCCATGCCGGATAGCTAAATGGCTCTACCTATAGAGGCCTCTCTAAGTGCTGCGGACAAGGAACAAAGGGATAGGGTTTAAGAAGCCAACCGAAGTTGACAGGATACGTAGATGATGAGGTGCATCTTCATTAGATGCTCTGTCTAACTTTTGTCTGTCTGCCCTGGCGTCTATTATATGCACTCCCAGCACCTAGAAACCATCAACCTAGACCAGTGACCATCCCGACAAGGCCAATCGCCTTCAACCGCAGAGCCCAACAGCTGCTTTCGCATCCTCTCTCCCACCGGCCGTTGTAACACCCCTGCACTTTCTCTTTCTATGGCTTCGCTACCATCTCGCAGCAATGACACCCGATTGCCTCGCTCTTCACAGTAGAGGTCGAACATTCGTTATCAACTGCTACCGATCCTCACTTAACGGGGAACCCTAGCGGTTGCGCACACCCTACCTTAACCTTGGATCTAGACCTTTACGGTAACAGGAAACGTTTGTCTAGATGGCCGGATACAGAGAACTGGTTTATGAACGAAGATCTCGTTAGCAACGTCGTTCTCCTAGCAAGGTAGTCTGCCCTTGGCCCGCTCCCGGCCTGCGGAAAGCGATCTGCAAGGCACCAGACCGCATCCTGAGAGACCTTCTGAAACTTTGCCTGCCTGCTATACCATCCGCGGCCTCAGCGACGCCCGTTAAGTCATAGCCGGTAACGTGGACGAGTAAATTAACTACGTGTCATTGGCCATGGATGTTGACCAGCATTCTCCATGCGGCCTGAGCGCCCAGGCCGTCAGGTCCGTATCGCTGTTAGTATCCACACCTACAGAGCAAGTGACTGCTCAAGCCGGAGGGCGGGTTGGACCCGTCTTTTGTGCTACCGCGCGATTGGGGTGGCCCTCTCGGCTCTGCCGCGCGGGATCTTTTCGCAGTCTCGGGAATAGCCACCGAGAGATTTTCAGCCTCTTCGACCGGACATGGCTACTTATTGCGCACGGCTTCCATCCTGCTTTGCACCGACGTATTCCTAAACCGCCCGCTCCCCGGTAAGCGACACAGCGGGTTTCTTAAACTGCTGTCTACCTACTACCAGTCGTCTTTCGAAATGTGGACTCTTGCATCTTGGGGCTGGGCGGTTAGGCTGTCCAGTATACTTGTGCTCTTTGCTCTCCTCCAGAGTATCGCAGCTCAGGATCTCGGCCTGAACCTTGACACACATGCCCGAGACAAAGCACAACAAATCGTTTACTCCTCTAAGCTCACCTTCACCCAAGATACTGTAACGCTCTTTAGCAATGACCAACTCTATGAGCTTGCTCACTTGGCTTATAGCCAAATGCAGACCAAGTTTAATGCTGATCGCGTTGGGCCACAGGAGCAGCCCGCTATGATGGCCGTTATGGCCGTCGAGAAGGACGTCTTCATCTCGTCCAGTTTGAAGGGAAGCGGCCCTTCTCTGTACAGCCTCGCACCCCAGCATTCCAAACCACGAGTCGTCGCTGCCCTTGACCGGTGCCAAGCCAGACTACAGAGCCAAAAGAAGGTCCCAGTAAACAAGAAGCATCGAACCGAGGCCGGCTGTGCGGAGATTTTCGCTGTTCACCAGGTAAGTCCTGCCCCTTCTGCTGCCAGGTCCTTCCCATAGACCAAGGCGCTAATTACCAACTCCTCTATCTAACGCCTCCCAAGTACTATTTAGACAGCGATACCTCCCAGCGAGCCCACAATCACCCGCGCTCCATCCGCGTTGTTGCCTACGGTAAAGGGGGCCAGACAGGCGTTATAGGCCGTGAGTTTGTGCCTATCCTGCTGTATGTATGTTATATGGGTGACGTCGTGCTAACGGGCTCATTAAACAGCTCAAAACCCTTGCGGTGGCGGTGAAGTCGTCAACCAAGAGGGTCGCCTAACGTGGGGGTGCAGGCAGTTCATGGCGGACAAAGGGATCACCGTGCCACGGAAGCCCGGCAAGAAAGTCGATATAAGATTGCCACGGCCGTTCCCAACGTTCACGCATAAACAAATCAGCGTCGTTCCCCACGCTCGCTCGCGGCCCACCCTCAATGCGGGTCCGCGCCGAGGGAGGCGAGTATCCCTACGGGTTCATTGATGCTCCGCAGAACATCTACCAAGCCAGTAGTCAGCAAATTCTAGATCAGCAGTGGTCTCGCGAAGCGGAGGAGCATGCCGGCCGTAAAAAGACCGAGGTGGTGGCATGCTGGGTCGCACTAGGTCATATCATCAGCAGCCGAAATAGGCGCCCCGTAACCTGGAGTCTCTTAAAGCTCCTCGATTGAAATCCTTGCCAGCTACGTTCTTAGAAGGAGGGAGGGCTGCAAGTCGAGCCGCGGGACAGAGGTATCGGGGATAAGTAGTAGGTAGCACGGCACAGAGACACGCAGCGTACAGCCCACCGCATCCACCGAGTTGTAGAATCCGGGAACTATTGTGCCCTCATCTGTCCCCGAATGGATAGCCAGCTGTCCAGCGGATGTGAACCTTACTGACTGTTACTTCGCTATCTCAAATGGGCGTCGCCGTCGTTTCAGCCCTAGTATTTTCATTGTCATCAAGTACCTCGGTTCGACTCATATCGTCAACGTTTATAGAGCAGAGCTCGTTATATATTAGCACCCGCGTTCTAGAACGGAGGCTCTTCTGCACGTCATTGCTGACTATTTCAATTCCGGCTTCACTGCGACAAATGATCCAGATACTATAGCGTTCTTCGGTCGAGCGTGGGTACCCTCGCGTCGTTCTCGTGCCCAGCAGCAGCGTTAGAGACATGATGATGATACCTTACTGATACTAACAACAGATTGAAGGATTCCTTGGTTTGAGGCTATATGATGATTGTAAACGTTAGTCACAAATTCTATCCATTTCGGTATCTTGGACCGCCCTTCGCCCTACAGACTATGTCAGTGAGCCAGTGCACAACGCAGGTGGCAGGAATCATCGCCAGGCCTGAAGACAACCTTTGGGTCTTGGGTGGTCCCGCTCCATGTTTCCTATTCCGGTAGTTGTAGTGTCGTTGGGACGACGAGATCCGGCCTTCCAGCGTTATGTATTCACCCTTTTACCTCAGACGGCAGGTGCAGATCAAAGCAGGGCGGACCGATCCTGCCTGCCTTCCACAACAGGCTTTACACAACCGAACTAATCTGAAATACGTAGGACAATGGTAGGGGGCCCAGCTGTTCCCAGCATTCTACGTCGCCTGTTAGCCGTTCCACTCTCCTGGAAACTGCTTGAGCTGCGAGGTCGTGGCTCTAAATAGGGAAGTGACCGCCCCTACCCTGAACAATGAACAGAACTCCCTCCCGCCCGATCTCGTCGGCTGAAGAGCATCCTCGACGATAGGCCCCCTTAGAGGCCGCCTTGTTTCATAAGTGAAACCGTTCTTTGTCAATGTATTATGATCTACAGCTATCGCCATGTACCCTCGTCGTTCCAGTCTTACGTCTGCCGGCCTATAGCAGCCCACATTTTGTGCGTCTAGAGCCTTCTAGGTAGAGGGTTCAGTGCCAACATCATACCATACAGTAGGGAGCTGCGTATGTCGTGGTGTTGAAATCAATTTTAACGTACGTACGAACAGTTATCCTCATGTACACACGTATCCAACAGTCCGATCCATACTCAACCCATTTTTCGGCGACAGGTGCTCACCTGCAGCTGTCAACCTACCTCCTGAACTGCACCCTCGGACTTAAACCCTAAATAGAACCTCAAGCCGCCTTGGCCATGCTTCATTCTAGCCAAGACAAACTCCTATACACTTCACTATCTCGTCCCTCCATGGACCATAACACACGCCACACCTATCATCACCATCATTCCTTCTGTATCAGCATCCGGCGTAGACACCGTTCCCTCCCCACGGGCTTTACTACAAAAGTAAGGCGAGTTACTACTAGAGTCTAGCATAACGGTCACATACTGAGCATACAACTGTATCTGGCTTCTGCTACTGTAAGTTCTCTAGTTTGAGGGGTGTTGTGTTCACACCGACCTAGGTACACTGCAACTCCTACTACAGTGTCGATGCTCCCGCACCGCCCTGGGTCCGCCAAGCCTTTAACGCCACGTAGGATAGCGCCCAGGGCGGCATTCCCAAGGCCCTTTAGGCGGAATTCGATGCGTTGAGCGGCGAGTTTCTGTGCAGAGGAGAGTAATAGGTTGATTTGGTGAGGAAACTGACCCAGCCTGCCCAGGATGGAGCGCTAAGCGTGGGTCGTTATCGGGCATTTCCCGCCCTCCAGCTTCACATACATACCTACTTAAGTATACATAGACAAACAAACACACAGCTAGTCACAAAACAAGCCATCTAAAGAGATGCCGTACTACCGCATACGATTAAATTAGTTCATCATCTATAGGCTCGCGTCCGTAGCAAAATCAGCACATACATCTATGTCGGTATGCCTTTCCCGCCTTAGTCCCTTAGACCATCTTAGGACAAATCTTTATTAGTGTAATACTCAGTTACATCGATCCCAGTTCGGATCCTGTCTTAAAGTCTAGGACGAACTCTTAGACCTAGAGTTCACCTCAGGGGCATCTGCAACTTGCAAGCGGACAGCATAGCGCCCTAGTAGGCAGGCACGTCCGTCCCCTGCACTCTCCACCATGATGATAGCTAACTTTATGTGATACCCACAGCAAAAGGAGACTAAACAGTGTCCACCCAGTGGTGACCAGCGACATATTAAGACGGGCATGTAACTCCCAACTCATTATATTATGCCCACCTATTAGAAGGCAAAGTAACGCGAGTGAAGTGTAGCCCATGTGTAGTACTTGCCGCCGGCAGTCACGGACACAGTCGCTAGCCTGCCATGAAGTAGTTCCGCGCCGGTTAGTCTCCAAGCATCCCAAACCTTACTCCACACTTGGATCTATCCATCCGCACGTTGCGCCCCCATTCTAAGCTAGGTTTGCGGTGCGCCCTGAACCTTTTCAACGACCCACCCACTAGGAATGGAACGACAATGAGGGGGCAAGCGAGCGCTTAGTAGAAGGAAGAGGTGAGCAAGCTAGGTACACGAAGTTCTAAAGATAGGGTAAAGATAGGGATGCTAATTTCAGAAGCATGCCTTTACAAGAACACTTCTGATGTCCCTATCGAAACGCCTCTTAACCTGGACGACAACCATCTTTTAATACTTATCCTTCTCTAGTATAACTCTTTAACTGAGCTTGTTTCGGGGGGTGGGGGACTCACAACTGGCTCGGAGCATCTCGCTCGCGATCTTCAAAATCTCCATCAGAGTGTCCATAGAAGCATCAAGCGTCAATGGCCGGAGAACAGTAGGTGCGTTCAATGAAAGCACATCTGCTAGTGAACTTCCAACCTGGGACAACTTCTCCAACATGCTAACCCTGTTTGTAGCAAAGGTCCTCTGGGGTGAGAGTTGGAGGACAAGGACAATGTCTCGGGCTATGCTTAAGGGATAGCCTAGCGACATACTATCGCAATAATTCGTGCTCGTCAGCGTCGTCGCTGACAAGCACAGCTGCCACACAACAGTCTTAAGCCACCCGCATGTGACGAAAAGCTCGGCTTGCTGCGACTCGGGGTAGGCGGACACATCGGCGAGGCAGTTTGACAGGGCTCCCTGCAGCTGGCACAGCTGCTCATGATCTGGGGGTTTCGCCGGCTTAACCGTCTGACGTTCCGTATAAGAGTTCCACGCTGTAATGAATTCGGCATCGAAAAGCCGGAAGAGGGAGATCAGATCAAGAAAGCCATGCAGGATTTTAGAGTCCGCAAGGAGTGGATCGAAGCGAGGTAGGTTAATTGTGGAATGCAAGGCCAGGGTCTTATGTCGCTGAATCGCGAAAGCACGTTCCGTGACGAAGAGGACCCAAAATGCCCGTCTAGCTTCCCTCGCAACAGACAGGTTGGTCGCCTCCTCGTAAGTGGCTTCTTCATGGTACCTAAGCGTCTGTAGTATAGTTATCGCTTCACGTAGGTAGAACCAAGCCGCATAGTCGTTGCGGGGGCTAGAGTGTGCACAATGCAGCATGAAAGAGGTTTGAACTTGTGCAAGGGACTGGTTGTCCGCGAGGTGACAGAACCGCCTTGATCGCAGCACTTCAGAGACCAAGAAGTCGGCCGAGGGCTCCGAGAGGTCGTAATGGCTGCGCTGACGAGACAACTCTGGCGAATCAGCGGCAGAGGCCGACGACGCGTCACGGTCCGGAGCGACGGTGGCGCAACAGGACACAATAACGCCATAGCATCCGGGGCATTGGGCGAAGTTCCGGATGTACTCTTCTATACGTTCTCGATCTATCATTGGTGTGATGGGATACTTATGCGTCAAGTAGGTGTCGAGAGATTGTCTGATTGTGTGAGTCAACAGTTGAGGCGATGGCTGGAACGTCTCGTCTGTCCCAGCCATGTCCCACTGCACCTTACATGTCGAGCATGTCGAGCACGAGCGAGCAGCGTGTCCATCCGTAGGCTGAACTCTTCCCGCTGAACTGCTGTAGTGCAGATCAGGATTTCGTCCCTTCTGCTGTCGAATATCAGGTCTCTGTCCATATCTCGGCCCTTTAGGTCCCGGTCTCTTTGGAACTGCGTTATATGAGCAAACCACCTTAGCTAAGAGACAGTTAATGCACTGGTGACGCCCGTCGCACCGAATTTTACGGATGTGGCAGGTATCACACGCCTGTCTGATCCTTTTCGTGGCCCGTTTCCTCGGCTTAGACACAGCTTTTAGTGGGGGCATCTCGTCCTATGAACGAGTGTCTCAACCAAAAGGTCTGCGTGATCGCATTTGAACGATGGCGCTAAGGGTTCACTTCCACTATTACGTGCTTTACTATGTTGATGGTGTGCTTAGACCTGGTTTGAAACATTCTATCCCTGTAGGTGGTTTTAGGCTTGCTATATTGGATTCCGGCAGAGGGTCGTTTCTGCAATACTCACTATATCATCTTCGTTTTCAATCCGACTTCTAAGGGTATCTCGTTAAGAAGGGACGGCGGGAACTAATACAAACTAAGGCGTAGAAAGGTGACGAAAAAGGGGGGCAAAGGGGGTGGGCGGGGTTAAAGGGGGGCGACTGAAGACGAAAGGCCTCGCCTATGTATGTGTGTCTCCATCCTAGACCGAGAATAGAGTTTGGGAGGAGGGAAATAATAGACGTCCCCACTGCAGCAACGAGCTAGTGCGTAAGATAAGGGACAGGCTCTATTGAGGAAGCCAGTAATTATACACTATTCCTGACGCATTCGGCTTAGGCACCAAGCTAATTCATCCGTTCATCCGGCCACAACTTGCGGGCTTAACGTTGCAAGACTAGAGGCGCGTTATCACCAACCACGCCACCAGGTTGTAGGCATTAGTATCGGTCTTAGGCTCTTGGAGCATAGCTAGCACATATTTCACAAAGATAAAAAAGAAAGAAGGAAGGGAAAAAAAAGAAAAAAGGGAAGCAAAGCAAGGATTGGGGGAAAAGAGCGGTAGGAAGAGTTGCAGGGCAGCTCGCCCGAAATAGCCAGTAAAGTCCGTCGCCTTCTTATTCTCTATTAACCAGCATGCTTCTTCAGTCGGAAACCACACATGGTCCCTAAGATAAGATCATTACACAACAGCTCGACGCGCGCGTATCAGTAGATCACACTCAATCAGCGATATGAATGATAATTATTAGGGGGCCCTGGGGGACATAGCAAAACCGACCCCAGCACGCGCGAGCGAAGGTGGCGGTCGCCACTATAACAAGTCAACAGAGGTAAATCTAGCCTCTATAATCTAAGCCAGCCATGCTATTGTGAAGTCTATGCCTTCCTTGTTAATACGGAGAACATGGATAGGTGTATCAAGTATATAAGAATATTCTCATTTTTTGTTTACTCAGTTCATCTTCACTTTAGCTCAGCCCAGCCTCAGTCATAGACTAATCGCAGTCTTCTGACTATTTAGAGGTCTAACTTAACTGCACTAAAGTTGATGTCCTACCCTGGCTGTGTATATGCAGATGCTCATGCTAGGAGATCCGATCGTGTCGAGTTATTGAGAATCGTGTTCGAGAACCGGGCTTTCAAGCCCCGCGCATTTTAAATTCCACGTCGCGGGGTTCGGCTGCGTATCGCTGCGATTTGCGCAAAGTACACCGGGAGAAGTCCGCTCAAAGTTTTCCCGCCATTCTCGTAAGGTTTAGCGCCCCGCCGGCAGTCTGTCCATTGGTTACGAGCTGTCTAGGGCAGCTAAGTGTGACACAATCGATAATAATACTACGTGTAGTATTGTGATCCCCTGTTCCACGCTGAGGTATATAGTTGCCCAGCTATAGGGACGAACAGCAGCATGCGTGGCACAGTACGATACTTGGGGTCAGAAAGAGCACCCGCCGCCCCGGACACCATGACCCCCACGCCCGCGCCACCATCCTCGGCGTTGAGCCTGTTTTCCAACAGTCCCACACTCAGCTAGCACCAGACTGCAGCTAAGGGGAGCGTTCATTTCACAAAGCAGGACGTCACAGGATATAGCACTAGCTACGTCGTGGTTAACCTATAAAACAAGAACAAAACGCATAATCATTGTACTCAACTAAACAAACCTTAACATACCGGCTAAGAGTAGTGTTTAAAATTACTCATTACTCACTACCTCCGTCCGTAGTATGCCGCATAGTCAGCTTTGTGCGGATGTGCCTGCAAACTCGTCCCACCACTAGCATTATCGCTTCGTACTCGCTATAGGGATCTTCTGGACCCAGGCACTATCAGCCGCCTGGCTTCGACACTACTGACTCCCTTGGTTCAAAGCCATGTAGATTTGTGTGGCTTTGACTCCAATACTTCTAAGGCTATCTATAGTGGTACCATGGGCCTCGACCATTGCAGGTCTTCCACTGCGCTGCCCGAAACCTGAGGTCTCCTTCTTCTCACAACACATACAATCGCCGTAACCTTCAACCCCCAACGACTAGACAGACACAGTTGTAGCTCATGTTCATGAAGTGAAGTGCTGCGCGTTTGTCTACGACTACCACTATCTAGCCTCAAACTAGTAAATGTTCCCGTCTCCACTACGGTTTTTCCGTTCTAATTCTGGACAACCCGTTGAACTAGGGTCAAATGGCTAGTAAACCCAGGATGATTTACTCTGAAACACACCGAGGGAGACGCCTAGGCCCGTCTTTACTATTTAGGGTTTCGTAGCCTGTCTACGTCAGCCTGCTGATGGGGCTGGAGAGTAGGGGCCGGGGCACGTTAGCTAAAAGAGAACCAAGCCAAGCCAGTTATTGGCGTTGTGGGTAGAATGGTACATGCGTCGAGGGGACGTGTTTTGTTGGATTGACTAATCGCGTTATCTCCTTCCAGAGATTCCAGTGATTGTGTCAGAGATCTAGAGAAACATTGGCTAGAAGACTCAACCTCACTCTTCAAGATGAACTCTTTACTATCACGGTCGGAACAATAACCTATAAGGGAGGCAAGCGTGTTAATGTCTAAACACTCCCTCTAGTCTTCTCCTCACGGTTCTTCGCCCATCGCCTCGGCTCTCCATAAGCAAGAGAGAATCTAATGGGCATTATCCTGTCAAGACTATTGATACGTACTTATTCAGGGGTTCCTGCTAAAGCCATGAAATCTCTTAAGTTCCTCTATCCTACAGCTCTGAATATACCTAACCTTGGTCCTTTGTAGCAGCATCATAGCTAGCTATAGATCTATAGCTTTCCCTGGGCGCCTCAGCCGAGCGCTCTCTGCTGAATTCTAAGAGCCCCCCCCTACAGCCCCCCCTAACCCGCCTGCCCGCTGTTATACCTTGATAACAACCGCGGTATTCTCACGCGTTCTAAGGACTAGGACCTTTCATTAAGCTAGTAACAGGAGGTTGGATGTTACATAGAGGCATTAGTCTTGCAGCAGACAGGCATTCTAATACGTAAGGTATAATCAATAGTGTTAACATGAGCGGGGTTTAATCATCCAACTTAAACGAACGGAGGAGCGGACTGAAAAGTCAGCTCTGTAAGTAGTCTAGCTTATGCTTAGGCTATTGTATCGCTAGGAACTAACTTAACCACGCAAACCAATAACGCAAGTATATATGGAGACTACGATATTAATGATATTCTCTATCGCAAAACGGCTTGTCTCAAGCTATAGCCGTATATTACAAGCTAAGACAAAGTTGTGTGCTCTGTTCAGAAGGTGAAGGCTATATAAGTATTGCCACACACGCAGCCGATACAGTCCAAAACAGCTTATACAGGCTACGCCGACGTTCTTCGTAGACGATCCTTTAGATAGACGAAACGACAGTAACATCAAGAGGCCCATCCAAGCATCTAAGTAAAGTAGCTCATTGGACAAACTGTAATCACATTCGTCCAATGCTGGACAGCGCTGCCGCAAGTGCAATAAAGTCAATTTTGCCCCTCATACTTGTTAACTTGTTGATTTTCCCCCTGGGATTTGATTGTTGGTTAACTTGCGAGTTAGTCAATTACAGCAAGGTCTTACCTACTCCGTCTTCCAGCTAGTAGAAAGACACATATTCTAGTCCCCATCCCCCTTTCTCCGTATCGATTAGTGGAGCAATGCCTTCCTTAAGTAACATCTAGTCCAAAGCCTTATAGCAAGTTTCTTGCTATTGTTGCTATTGTTGCTGATGTTGTTACTATTACACAGGCTATGACGCCCCTCTGCCTTCAAGCACCACTTGCGAATCGCTTACTTATCTAACTATATGCTTCCTAATAGAGCAGCGGATGGGATACGTCCAACCGAAGGGCTGGAGGTACCACGACGGGAGGCAGGACTTCTCGGGGGCACCTATTTATATTAAACCCAAGGTAGTAAGTGAGACCCCTACCCCTATCAACGGGAGACTCGCTGCTCTGAAACAGAAGAGCGGACATCTAACATCAAAACATATATTCATAAGCCCTAATCCGGCAGAATATCCTACCTGGGCCGTCAGCACGTCCTGTATATACACTTGCTCTCATGCCCCCTAGAGAAAGTGTACCTAGGCTGCTTCTATCATATGTCTTTTGGGTTTTAGGATGTTGATATTAATGCGTCGTTGAGGGGAGATTTATAGAGCCATACCACGATGGCGCCTCAGTTGTCTCATGAAAGCTAGACATCGAACTGTGGAAACCTGAATAGCGGGTTGAGATTGGAAATCCTCCCTCCACTTCACTAGTGAAGAACAGAGCCCCCTAGCCTGCCTGGGAGGTGTTATCAAGCGCTAGCCATAATAAGTCATTATAGCATCATCTCTATGCCCTGCGCCGTCTGCAGAGATGGGTAAATAGCTCGTTCCTACTCCGAGAAGGGGTTCATCGGACCATTGGAACCTGAATGGGGAGGGGGGTGGGGCCTTCGAGACCGTGGTGTGGAGGGCCTGTTCACCTACCCACAATTACTG